GGCCCGACGCTTAAAGGGCTACGCCTATACTCATAGAATCTGGGGTTACAGTACGTAACCAACGTTCTATTTCGTATAAGCTTCGCCCTTTAAGGCTGTCGCTTTGTGGGTTAAGGGCGAAGCAGATGTGGTCCTCGCCTCACTGGGTCCATTCGAACACCGTATGAAGCAGAAGCTTGCCCAAAAACATCTCGTCACTCAGCTCCCCATGTGCGTAATTACGCATTGAGTAATTATGTGAGCCATGCACAGACGCATGTTGTATAACTATGCATTCATGGCTGAACAGTATAGACAGAATAATAATAACAAATGAACTGATTATTAATCAAATGAACTGATTGGTAACAATAGTCATTAACTGATTAGTGACAATAGAACCAAAATAACAGACACAACTTGTGACTGATAACACATCTCACACTGTGAAGCATGCAGACAGATGTGAGCTTAAACAGAGTTCCATGAAAACAACAATATTCATTCTGTTAGAGCACTAAGGACAGAATGTGTCATGGAACGTGCCGTCACATCACGTAGATAAGAGCGAATGAATGAGCAGGGTGTTGACCACGCGGCCGCAATGCAAATGTCCTGCATTGTCATACTATTATGCAAGGCAGTCGAAGATGCGATACCCCTGGTCGAGTGTGCCGTAAGGTTGACAGGAGACTCTAAATCTGATGCTCTGTAGGCTTCAGAAATGGCCTCACACAGCCAGTGTGACAAGCGCTGGGTGGATAACGGGCGACCTGCAGATGCATCTCTATAATGCACAAACAAATGTTGAGTTTGGCGCATTACAGCTGTGCGCGCTATGTAACATGTCAACGCCCGCACCGGACAGAGAAGATGGAAAGATGCTTCTTCTTCTGATCTGTGGGGAGGAGGGAAAACCCCTCCAACGATATCGCTCTTGATTTAAAAGAGCTTGTGATGTTTTTAGGCATAAAAGCTGGGTTTGGTCTTAAATCAGCTGAGCTGCCGTCAGCCTGAATTCTAAGACATGACAGAGCGACAGAGAGGGCAGATAAATCACTCACCCTCTTAGTGGATGTTAAAGCCAGCAGCAGGGCTGTTTTAAGAGACAAGAATTTAAGTGGAACCTGATCCATAGGCTCAAATGGAGCTTGATCAGGGCTCGCAGGACCAGCGTTAAATCCCACTGTGGAACAAGTGGGCGTGAAGCAGGCCTGCGTCTCTGTACACCTTTTAGAAAACGCTTCATCAACGGATGATTAAAAGCTGTTCTGTCTACGAACCCTTCGTGGCAGGAAGAGATGACTGCAGCGTACGTTTTAATCGTGCTGAAAGCCAACTTCCTGTCCATCAGCTGTGTAGAAAAGACAGCACGCTGCCTAATGGACATGAGGTGGCCTCTACACCTTTCTCTGTACACCAGCGCTGAAAAAACTGTCCACTTTGATGTGTACAGCGCTGTGGTAGATGCAGCACGTGAATCCTGGATTGTGCGCACTACATCCTGTGGGAGACCCATCCTCTCTATGCAGAACCGCTCAGTGGCCAGACCCACAGGTGCTGGCCTATTTCTGGGTAACTCCTGATCGCTCCTCCTGCCTGGAGGAGAGCGTCCCCTCCACGGCAGTTTCCACGGGTGCCCCGACAGTAGACATTGCAGGACTGGTAACCATGGTGCGTTCACGCGCTCGGGGGCCACCAGGAGAGCTGTCAATCCCTCCTCCTGAACTCTGTTCAGGAACCGTAAAATCGGAGGAGGTGGAGGAAACGCGTAAAGAAGCGTTTTGGGCCATGGGCTGTGGGCAAACGCATCCACGCCCAGCGGTGGTTCGTCTCACGGGCTCAGGGAAAACCATAGTTGACACTGAGCGTTCTCTCGTGTCGCAAACAGGTCCACAGCTGCTTTGCCAAATTTCTGCCACGTCTGAATCATCAGGTCTGGATGGAGAGTCCAGTCCCCGTGACGTGGGCCGCCCCTGGACATCACATCTGCCCCTTTGTTCAGAACACTGGGTATGTAAACTGCTCTGATGGAGAGCAGATTTTGGTGAGCCCAACACAGTAGCTTTCGTGCAATGTGTAACATCTGGGCTGAGCGGATACCCCCCTGCTGGTTTATGTACGCAACAGTCACCTTGTTGTCTGTGTGAATCAACACGTGTTGATTCGGTAGCACGGGAGCAAAGTGCTGAATCACATTCAGCACCGTGAAACACTCCAAAACATTTATGTGGGCAGATGTGTGATGGGGCCACAGCGCCCCTACTGCTTGAGATAGGCATGTCCCCCCCCAGCCTGACAGCGACGCGTCCGTGAAGACTGACACGTGTGACGTGGGTCTGCTGACGGGGGCTCCCTCCGACAGAACCAGGGTGTTTCCTCAGTGTCGGAGGTCTGCTCTCACGGAGGGAGGAACAGTGATCATCCGTCTCTTTTGTTTTACTGGGTCCACACGCAGACGCACAAACCACCTCTGGGGGCGTCTCGTGTAATAAACCCAGCGGGACAACTGTGTGAGCTGATGACATCATTCCTAACAGCTTCATGACGGAGACGGCTGTTACCACTCTGCCAGGTCTTACATGGCGGAGCTGGTCTTTTAAAGTGTCAATTCTCGTTTGTGATAAACGAGCCTTCATGGTGGTTGAATTTAACTCCACTCCCAGATAAACAATTGTCTGGGCCGGGAAAATCGAGCTTTTCTTCCAATTTATGGTGAAGCCCAGATTTAACAGGTGTGATGTCAACACCTGAGCCTGCATCACTGCTTCCTGTCTGGAGCGTGACAGCAGCAGCAGATCGTCCAGGTAAAACAAAACTCTCATCCCTGCTCTGTGTAACGGATGCAGGGCTGTCTCCACACACTTTGAGAACGTACAAGGTGCGAGGGAATACCCGAACGGCAGCCTGTTGTACTGATACTTCATCCCCTGAAAGGAGAAACGCAGGAATTTTCTGTGTTTTGGGATGATCGGTATGTGAAAATAAGCATCTTTTAGGTAGACGGAAAACAAACCAGTCGTTTCTCTGGATGTTGTCCAACAGCTGTCTGGTTGTCAACATGTGAAAATGGTCTGTCCATGATCGCCTTGTTGAAAGCTGACAGATCCAAAATCGGTCTCATCCCTGTGGTCCGTTTGGGAACCAGGAAATAACGTGAGTAAAACCCTGTGTTTTCCTCTCTGTTGGGAACCCTGGAGATTACTTCTTTTATCAGAAGCTCTTGGACTTCTGCATTTAGGGATGAGATTTGGTCTGGTGATGACAGGACCGTCTCTAAAACTCCTCCGAACAGAGGGG